CAAGAAAGATAAATCATAGCTTGTCTCTGTTCTTAGCAGCTTCCAGGGGAGTAAAGAAGCAGAAGCACACGAGTAGCTTTTAACACAAGCCAGGCTCTGATGAGCACTTTAACCAACAGCCCAAACAGTACAGTGGGAGACTAGGGGAAAGAAGCATTATGGGGCCGAGACTAAGAGCCTTGTGTTATGGGGTAAGGGTGCCCCATAACTGAAGAGAAGAGAGCCGAGAGAGAGCCAGGTTCCTAGTTCCCACCTGTCCCTAACTTTGACAAGGTCCCTGATCTCCATGCACCCTCCGTTGCCCTCCCAATTCCTGCTCCGCAATCTTTCTGGCTCTGACCTCCTCTGCCTTACTGACTTTATTCAACTATTCCCCAGCTTTGGAACCCTGGCCAAGCCTTCAGGAATCTCCTGGTAGAAAAGCCAGAGGGCCCCACACCCACGTGTCACAGAGTGGTCACTCTGTGGTTCCCTGGGCAGGAATCTCTCCCCCTGTGGTCCATACACCTCCCTGCCCACCTCTCTTGGTCTCCATCTCTGCTGTCCTTCTCCCTTTTCCCCATGGTGCTGGGGATGGAACCCAGGGCCTTGTACTTGCAAGGCAAGAACTCTTACCACTGAGCCACATCCTTAGCCCAGTCCTTTCTTTCTGCCCTGGTCTGAGTGTTTAAGAGGCCACTGCACCTTTATCTAGGAGCTTTTCCTGGACCATTGGATGAGCTGGTGTCTTTCTGACTGGGAGCTCCGCCTCCCTTGTTGCCCCCTCCCTCTGCCTGTGTGGGTGTCCGTCTTTGTCTCATTTCTCAGCCTCACTCACACCTCTGACAGTCTTGTGGTGGGGCTGGTGTGGGGTGGTGTGTGTGGGGGGGTGTATGTGTTCATTTGTGCTCTTGCACGCCATGTGCACAGTCCGGTGTTTCTCTGCCTTCATGTGGCTGCTTAGGAGTGCATCACATGTGTGATGGTGTCTAAGGCCGAGAGGGAGATCAAAGCAGGTGGGAAGTCACTTGGATAAACCCACAGAAGTGAGCTGGGCTCAGAGGTGAGGTGGAGGGCGGGCTGATGCTACCCAGGCGCTGGTGTTTTCACTCTCTGCGGTCAGACTGGCCCTTCCTGCTTGGCCCCCACCTGGCACCTCACCCTGCAGCCACACATGGAACCTGTGAGGAGGTGGTGGGAGGCTGGCACTCGGGACCTCAGAACCACGTGCAGAGGCACAAGCACCGCCTGGTGGGTGCTGTGCTGAGTTCTTGGCACCTTCTTGACACTCTCAAGGGTGGACCAATACCCTGTCCCTCTTTGCCTAAAACCACCAAAGCATCTCCGCTCTCCTGCGAACAAGCTGCTGCGCCGGATACTGGCAGCTGCTGCCCACTGTCAGGCATTGCCCTCCGCTGCTCTTCAGTTCTTTTGTCCTCCTCATCCTCACAGTGGTGCCTTCTAGACTCCAACTCTCACCCTTCCGAGCTGTGCACTACACCATTTTGTCAAGGAGCATCCAGAGACTGACTCCAAGCTCTTTTTCCTTCAAGTCCTGGCCCACTAGGAACGTGTCACTCCTCTCCCTCCTGCTGGGCTGTGCCTTGACATGGGGGCTGTGACCCTCACCTGGCTGTGTGTGGAAGGGATACTCTGCCTCCTTTCTGGGTGGGGGTGACACCAGGCAGGACTGTTGAGGTGGGCATTTGCTCACTTGTGCTCTGTCAACCACAGGATTTATGTGGGATACCTGCGGCCGTGTCTGGCAGCTGAGCCTCAAAGGATGTAATCTAGAAGTCAGGAAGTTGCCCTTGAGCCAGGCAGGGAGGGTGGCCAGTGTTGGTGGCCAAACAGTTCCTACTGGAGTGGAAGTGAGAAGTGAAAACATCAGGCTGGGAGAAATTGCAGGCGAATCGTGGAGGACTTCCCAGAGGAGGTGACTGGTCCCAAGAGAAGGGAAGAGAAGAGGGCACCTCACCAAAGCTTGGATGACAAAAGCCTGGTCTATGCAGAGAGAGCAGAACGAGGTGAGAGGGGCCTGGGGGCCTGAGCCATCCGGGGCCATCTCCATTGCTATTCTGGTTTGGGGGGCTTTTTGGGGGCGAGGAGCACTGCTTGTGACTTTCACACACTCAGAATCTCAGCGGCCCTCCTGGAGTTCAATTTTGAGACTCCTTATTGTCGTCGCTGTGCTGCGCTGGCTCATCATCGCTTCCATTTCCCTTCTTTTAAGACTACATTTTACTTCCCAAATCCCCACAAAGATAGCTAACATCTCCTTTATCACCTCCCTGTTCTTTCTCACGCATTCCTTCCAGTTGTCTCATTTGAGTTGTCTAAGTGCTCATGATGAGTGCTGACCACAGCCACCATTTGGTGGGTACATGGAGAGGGCGTACCAGGCGCGGTGAACAGCCTTCGAGGTGGACATTATCATTTCCCAGTTTACCGAGGAGGAAAAGAAGGAAACTTAGTAACTTAGCCGAGGTCCCTCGGTTAGCAAGCTGCTGGGGTGCAGTGTGCATGTCAGCCCGCCCTGTGCCTCAGCTCCTCGCAACATGTTTATAGAGCGAGGAGCTTTGCAGCCTGCTCTAGACCTGCCACTGTGCAGGTGGTGAGCAAATGCAGGCCTGACCACGAGTGACAAGCCTGAGGTTGCCTGTTCCTCCTCCCAGAGGGATCTCTGTTCTCTGACTCCTGTTGCAGGGTCAGCTGTCATCCAGCTCCCAGAGGACAAAAAGCCAGCAGCTCTCTGTCCTCTGGAGGCTTCCACAAGAGACCAAGGTGTCCAGGCACCACACAGGAAAGCTGTGCACGTAAACTGTGTCTCTGAGCCAGGGCTTACTGGTCACCCCACTCTCAAGCCCTTGGCTTGGCCTCCAGGGGCCATGGGAAGGAGAAATGTGTGTGCGGAGAGTTTGCAGCATGTACTGTACTGGAGGAATGTGCAAGAATATGAATAAATTTGAATAATAATGAGGGCAGTGCCTGAATTAATAATACTGGCGCTCACCTGACCCACCCTTCCCCCAGGATCTCAACACCTACCACCCTCGTCCTTCAAAACGTGGGTGAGCCTTATGCTTTCGATAAGAAATGTGTAAAGCCAAATCAGGTCAGGTATGGGAAAAGGACCTGTTTCTTTGGGCCCTGCAGACTTAAAGAGCCAAATAAGTCCATTTAACCAAGAGTAAAGAAAGACTCTGCTTTATATTATAGCATATTGTGACCATTAGGCCATGCCTGGCACCACCGCCTCCACCTCCTTTGTGGCCCATTCAGCCTTCTAGGCCCACAACCAATGAGGACAGCTGTCCCATATTCACAGAGACTGAGAGGGAAAGGACAGCATGGCTCACTGCCTTGGTATAGAGTTCTCATTCTGGTGGAACAGATAGGAGAAACACCACAAACACCGGCCCACCAGCTGCCCTGGGTCTCCTAATAAACACGCAGGCTTAAGCCCCATAGCTTGAGATAGGTAGTCCTGTGGCTGAAGCTACAGCAGGAGGGCTGGGTGACGGACCAGAGGTGCTTGCTCAAGGAGCGAAGGGGTCGGTGTAGGAGGGCTTCCTAGAAGATGGGAAAGTGGGGCAGATTAGAAAAGGGGGAGAAACGGGGCTGGAGGAAGAAAAGAAAGGATAAAACTAGGATCCTGGTGCTGGGAAATAACGTGGCAGTAGAACACTTGCCTAGCACTCACAAGGCCCCGGATTCGAACCCTGACCATGCCTCTCCAGTGGTTTAGAGGATGGTCCAGAAATGGTGAGGTATGGGTCATATTGATTTGTACAGAGGAACCCTAGCAGATCAGAAATATTGGGGGAATCTGGGTATGGAAGAGGCTGACTTTTGGGATTGCGACTTCTGAGAAGGCTTTGTGCTGGGAGGGAAGGAGGAAGGCGCTGCTGGGGTCTGAAGAGCTCTGATGCTGGTTACCTGGGTGTGATGGGGGTTTCCCCTCCCCTCTGCTCTCCTCCTCCTGCTTCCCCTCTGTGCTGTGCATGGCCTGTCCCGCCACTGGGGCCAACCAGTGATGGAGTGAGCTGGTGGGTGGGAGCAGTGGGGAAGAAGAAACCCACAATCCAATTCCCTGCTCCATTTAGGCTCCACAATTAAAGGCAATTACTCTGCAGTTCTCTAATCAAATGCTCCCGG